AAAAATTAAAAAAGACCTACCCTATGACCCAGCAATAGCACTGCTAGGAATTTACCCAAGGGATACAGGAGTGCTGATGGGTAAGGGTACTTGTATACCAATGTTACAGCAGCACTTTCAACAATAGCCAAATTATTGGAAGAGCCTAAATGTCCATCAACTGATGAATGGATACAGAACTTGTGGTTTATATACACAATGGAATACTATGTGTCAACGAGAAAGAATGAAATATGGCCTTTTGTAGCAATGTGGATGGAACTGGAGAGTGTTATGCAAGGTGAAATAAGTCATACAGAGAAAGATACCATATGGTTTCACTCTTATGTGGATCCTGAGAAACTTAACAGAAGACCATGGGGGAGGGGGAAAAAAAAAGAGGCTAGAGTGAAAGAGAGCCAAAGCATAAGAGACTCTTAAAAACTGAGAACAAACTGAGGGTTGATGGGGGGTGGGAGGGAGGGGAGGGTGTGTGATGGGTATTGAGGAGGGCACCTGTTGGGATGAGCACTGTGTGTTGTATGGAAACCAATGTGACAATAAATTTGATATAAAAAAATAAAATTTTAGGTTGTGACCCCCCCCCCCCCCAAAAAAAACCTGATAAATGAAATGGTTGTGTGACTATTGCCCGGTGTAAAGGGCTGCTCTGAAGCCCATCCTTAAAACAGAGTGTGGGAATGGGGACACTTAAGGCCAAGGACCTGGGGATGAGACCAAAGTCGTCTTCTGTTCAGGAGCCCATGATCCTTGGTGACATTACTTCCACATGCAGCTTTGCAAGTGGACCAAGTCAGACATTCAAGCCCTGCTTACTTGCCTTTAATTAAAACCATGTTCTGGCCTTGCTGTTATTCATTCATTTGTTCTTCATTCATTATTCAACAAGTATTTTTTTGAATAAATATTGTGTCTATCATGTCCATGTAGTGTTTTCCACTCAAGGGGGCTCTGCTTTCTGAGCTTATCTGAAGAAAACAGATAAACATCTCTGTCCTTGGCAAACATATTGTGTTAGTAGATGTAATACTAGGTGCTGTAACAGACAATCCCAGAAATCTCAGTGGGTAAGCACAATACAGACTTATTTCTTTTTCCTATAAAGTCACCTAGATGATGTGGGAGCCAAGGGCAAGCTGCCCCCAAAATTTACCATTTTGGCATATTAATTTTATTGAACTAAAGTTATTTAAGAAATAACCAGAACAAGAAGAACTTCCTGACTGCACCCCTGCCCCAGCCTTTGTCTCCAGAAAGCAGGAAATAAATTATCCCTGTGAAAGTTATCCTCTCTGTACCAAGACGTCTTTGTCACCATAGATAGGAAATTTAGGACAAAGAAGACTGTATAAACCTTGCTACTTTTATTAATTTACTACCCAGTCCAAATTCTGTTTAGAATGCCTTACCAACTGAAGCTCTTGAACATAAGTTTTCTTTGTCCTATCATTTCCTAACACATTTGTTTCTTTTTCTAAAAAATAGACATACTGCCAGGCTTGATCATTTACTTGGGTTTCAATTTTGTTATTGGTCCTCTGTGTGCAGGTAATTAAACTTTGTTTTTCTTTTTCTCCTGTTTAACTGTCTCTTGTCAATTTAATTCTTAGACTGTCTAGAATCACCTTGAATAGTAGGGGGAAAATCTTCCTTCCTAGTAGCTACAAGGGTGGTGGAAGGGAGTACTCAGATTTTTGTATTTATTTTTAAGTTTATTTGTTTATTTTGAGAGAGAGAGAGAGAGCGAGCATGTATGCACAAGCAGGAGGTGGGTGGTGGGAGAGGTAGAGAGAGGGAGGGAGAGAGAGAGAATCCCAAGTAGGCTTCATGCTATCAGTGACTATCAGCCTGACTCGGGGCTCAAACCCACAAACCATGAGATTATGACCTGAGCCGATAGCAAGAGTTGGATGCTTAACCAACTCAGCCACCCAGGCACCTCAGATTACTATACTTTTTAAAGCATTTAGGCTGACTGGAAGTTCTGCCATTTTCAGTGTGTGGCTTCCAAGGTCACCCTGGGCATTGACATTAGTGATCAGACAGTGGGAGAGAGAGGTTGGGAGCCTAGATATTGTGAACACCACATTCGCCCATATTATATTCGTGAAACCCAGTCATAGGGCTCCCTTGCATATAAGGGGATGGGAAATGGTGAGTGACCTCCCAGCAGAAACTCTTCATTAGAGAAGGAGGGCATGGATATTTGGTGAAAAGGTAGATATGTCTGCCATACTTACATTCTCTTGGGTGCAGAGAGAATAGGGTGCAGACAATAAACACGTAAGTGGGTACATTGTATAGTATTTCAGATGATAATAAGGAAAACAAGTCAGGTGAGAGGAATAGGAGGTGCAAACAAATTGTGAAAATAATTTTCCTACATGGCTACTCACTGGGCCATATTGTCTACAGAGCAAATGTGAGTTGATCCTTTGCATGAGCTACAACTAAGGACTCTCCTTCCTGCGTTGTGCTGGAGCGCTCAGATTGGAAAGAGAGACCTTACATTCTGTC